CAGACATTCATTGTGATATTACCATACAGTTGCCATACTGAAGTTAGCTTTAACTCACTTACCATTGACTACAATAAAATTTCTGCTATTTAACTTATGATTTACTGATTTTTGGGAAAATAATAGTTTATTATTATTATTATTATTATTACCAACATAGCAAAGCAAACACACAAAAAATTTTGGGGGTGTATTTGTGCTTTCATAATTAAACCAACCATCCATAAGTATTGGCCCAACCATTTATAACAACATTGTTTATCATCTACTATTGTTGGCCCTGAATCAATGATGTCTCCTGGAGTGGTTTTTGTCTCTCTTCTTTCTCTTGTTCTAGTATATTCTGCTGCTGGTTTGGAGTGCAGGATCTATGTCAGTTCATCTCATGGTATCAACAATACCTCTTGTTGGACTGGAGGAGTTCAAACACCTTGTGCTACTATTGATCTAGCTATACAAGGAACTCCTACTCTACAATACAACTGTTCATCAGGTATCCTTATCAACCTGTCTCCTGGTACATATACACTAGACACTACTAGTCTACTAGAGCAACAGCTACTGAGGAATAATGTGAGTATTATTGGTATGAGGGATGGTAGTAGATATGAAGAGGTTAGTATCACGTGTCTACATGTTTTGTCTTCTTCATATAACTGGTTGAGGTATATTGTATTTGAATGTGTTAGTCTTTATAATTGTAACAATGTTCCTGTTACATGTGCTGAACCATCCTTTGATATTACTACACACAATGAACCAGTACTGGGGAATGAGGTTTGTCTAAATTTACAACTAAGTTTAGGCTACATTGATGCACAGTTAGATTGCTTTGATTATTACATTGATGACAACTGTCAGTGTGAGTATCTTTCATTTTATGCTTATATCACTGACTCAAATTTTAATCATTATGATTGGAATTATAATTTTAATGTTTGTATTAGTATTAATTCTTCAATTGATCAAAAGCTTTATCAAAATTGTCATACCATTTCACAATCAGAGCCAAATTGTGATTACTACTTCCCTGATGGCAGATGCTATAAAGTGGGGAAATGTTTCAATGACTATATTGATGCCAATCCTGTTGAAGTGAGACTGTATGTCCAAACACTTGGTCTTATTAATATCAATACCAGTAGAACTGTGAATGTCAAAGTACAATGTGAGTCTGACAATGAAAACTGCAATCCGAGTAATACTTATACTTGTGCAATACAAAATCCACCATACAAGCTACATTGCATCAATGACATTTTTTATGGTTGCTATACTGACAACACTACAGGAGAGAAATACTTAGGCTGTGAATCAGACTGGGGAATACCAATGAATATTCCCTACGTATGTACTCAATGTGATGATAAATATGGTTTACTGGTATTTATTGTAATAGAAATATTATTTATCACAATCATGGTATCATTAATAATAATATTTAATATACAACTAACCAATGGATCTATTAATGGAGTGGTATTCTATTCACAAATAATATCAATAAGTTATTTTGTTTATAACTATAATTACTATTATTATTATTATTATTATTATTATAACCCACTACTACCATTACCTGAACTACCATGCAATATATTTAATTTAGATTTCACTCAATTTATTTATAATTATGTTATGTGTATATCACCTAATACACCACCATTAGGAGTAATTTCCTTTTGGTATGTGATAGGATTCTATCCATTGCTCCTCCTCCTCTTACTCTATGTTTGGATAACATTGTATGATAAAGGTTACAAGTGTGTAGTATTTATTACTAGACCATTTCATCGTTGCATGGCTCGTTTCTGGAGTATGACTGGCATTGAACCATCTTTTACTCACTCTATAGCATCAATATATATACTCTGCTTTACTCAATTAGCTGCTACTTCCTTTAAAATATTGAGTTTTACATCAAGTCTGAAAAGACTCAAATTCTTTTCTGATATAAAGCAGGATTACTTTAAGGGGGTTCATGGTGCTGCTGGTTTCTTTGCAATCTTAGTGTTATTGTTTCTGATTGTTCTACCAACACTTTATATACTCCTTTATCCATTCAAATGGTTTCATAAGTTATTGGATCGTTTACATTTGAGGAAACCGCAGCTACTGATATCACTGGGTGATGTGTTTACTGGTCCTTATAAGAATGGAACTGAGAATACTTATGATTATCGTTTCATGGCTGGACTATACCTACTGGCAAGAATAATTATTACGAATCAATTCGTTTATGGATACTATTTTATATCTTCAATACCAATTTCTCAAGCTTGCTGTTCCTTCTTACTAGCAGTAATAGTTATCATCTTTCGTCCCTTTCAAAGAAATATTCATAATTTTGCTGAATTTTTAATTTTGTTCATAGTTATGGCATTTGGATGTACAAACGGTGTTACTTCTTTCTTAATGTCAAAGTCAAATGATTCTAAAAATAGTGCAGCTGGTGTTGATGGTTTTATAATACTAATTTTAAATTTTCTAATTTTTGTCATCATTATACCAGGTTATATAATTTACCAGGTATACAAAATGATAAAATCATGTCAACGTTATCATAAAAGAAATAATCCAGTGGCTAACAGAAATCAAGAAGAAGACTATCAGCCATTAGTTGGTAATGATGGTGATTGGATTGCTGATCGTATGGAGAATCCACTAGAATATGATGAACAACATGTTCCTGGTAGAATGGATGATGTATCTGGAGAGGATCAACAACCCGCCATTACTAGATATATTGCTACAGCTGCTACTTATGGCAGTATTCAGCAATAAAGTGGCTACTGTTTGAAATTAAGAAAATTTTTGGCTTGTTTATTAGTTTTTTAAGTTAGTTTTGTGTAGGTTTTGGTTTATTTTGTTTTTGAAATTTACTTGTCAGTATTGCAGTGATACAACTTGATTGCAATGAAATCATGGAAATTTGGGGTCAAACTAACAAGTGTATAAAATATGGACTAATTTTTATTCCAGCTACATGTAAGTCCCTGTACATGTACATGGTCTCAGGTCAAATTTCTCTAAGTTTAAAAAGTAGGGAATTCTCTGTTTTTATAATTTTTTTCTGGTACATATGCATGTACTTATGATGAGTAAAAAGTTTGAGCTGATTCTGATCTAATTTAGAATTTTTTTTACAATTTTAAAAGTATCCTTTGCTTTTTTTCAAAAATTGGCTTGTTTTAAAAAAGCTCATAACTTAAAAAATATGCATACAATTAAAACTTAATGAAAGAAAATAGAAGCCAGGGCTTTTACGTGTACTGTAGGGCGCCTTTTTTCGATGGCTATAGATTTAGCGGACATATAATTGGCTGCATTAAATCTTGTGATTCTATCCCAAATTTGAATCTTCTACACGCATACACAATTAATTCAAGCATTTCAAGGAGTTTACTTTCGCGATTAGCAAAAAAAATCTGCAAAATATATAGCCCTCGAAAAAAGGTGCCCTACGGTATTTGAGAATATACAGTGCAAGATTAAGACAAAATACATATACATATACATATTATATATACACTGTACATAATATAATGCAGAATACTACATAGTGAATGATAGTGTGTGAGGTTATACTCACTCGTACTACTGCTAGTATGTCAGGCATGTAGTCCCTAGCGTGTTGTTTGATGATCGATATAATCTGCCCCAACTGCTTGAACATGAACTCTCTCATGTGCTTCTCACACGTTGTAATGACACTCAGGAAAGGAGGCATCACCTAATAATGAAATATGAAGACAATGATCAAATTATAAACACTATTAAGTACATGTACATGAATTGGTATTATAAAATACAGTTTCTTTGATTATAACAAATTTTTATTAAATGAACCAAACATTACTTAGATTTTATTTTTGAGATTCTACTCAAAATGTATAAGGTATATGTACTGTATATAAAGCACATGTACATGTACACGTACATGAATATGCAGCAAAATTAGGTAATGTACATGTACATGTAGACTAAATGTAAAAATATAAAAATATATATAAATAATAAAATATAAATATTAGAGCTGAAACGGATGTGGTATTTCACTATCCGGATATCCTGTTAAAATTTCTTTCGGATATTTGCCGGATAGTTAATTAATAAAAGTTAATTAGTTAGTGACTGCAGACATCAAAAAAGCAAAGTTTTTATTCCCCAGGATGTTATTCTTGTACATTTCTGGTAGTTAAGAAGCTCAAAAATGATAAAGAAGTGGCTGACAAGGTTGGTAGCTTCAAGAACTTACTCTTTTATTGCTGGTCATTAACTGATGGAATTGCATTAATTAGTTATAAAGTCTAGTTATTAAGTTTAATTATCCTATTTGTCAAAAATTACTATCCGGATACTAAATTTATAAACGGATATCCGGATAATCAGGATATCTGTTTCAGCTCTAATAAATATACCGTACAGGTAGTAAATTTCGAGGGTATATAATTTCACGTTTTAGTTAAAAGCTCTTAATTTTTAATTTTGAGGGGCTTAAATTTCGCATTTTTGCATGTGCATGCGCATACACAGTGAGCATTTCCATGGTATTATAATTTTCGTGGTTAACAAATCACCCACAAAATCCGCAAAATTAAATTCCCCACAGAATTTTATACCCATACAATATTACAGCTACATGTACATGTGCAGGCTACTCTGAGTAGAAGTGTAAGTTTTTATTATGAGTGATTATTGAAGGATTAATGTGTCACATTACTTGAGGTAGATAAGGGACACTCTTCATCCCAAGGCTCTTGAATATAAATCCAAGAGCTTGTATGGCCATGACATGATGCTGAGAGAGTGACTGATCTTTAAGTATCTTCATCAATGAACTGATGGCTACTGCTGGATAGAAATCATCTAAATTATTCCCTGATATTTGTACAAGCAGTTCACTAGCTGAATCAGCAGGACCTATTATAGGAAGGAAAAGTATATTTACAAGTAATTACTGCATAAGATGATTTTATAGATGAGAGTAATATTTAGCAAAATTTGTGTCTCAAATTTTAATGTAAAGAAGATGGTGGATTTTATTTTTGGCAATTTCCATGGAAATGCCAATTACAATTGCAATCAATTTGTATGAATGTAGAAACAATGGAAATTATGAAATAGATTTTAGGTTACAGAACAAAACTATAGTAATAAAATATTATGCAGGGCTATCACCTGAGTGAAGCCCTTCCAAAAATTTTATAGAACCACATGAGAGAGCCTGACTGACTCTTTTAATACCACTACTGACAGTATTCAGTCTTTAAATACCAGTAAAACTATGTGAGGCTATCATGGGTTGCCCCAGTTGTTATGATAATGTAATGTTAGAATAACAACTGGGGGCAACCCACAATAGCCTCACATAGTTCTCCTGTACACACACAGATTCTCTCATGTACATGTACTGCATGTATAAAGCTACAACTACATGTGCTTACCGCCAGTTCCTTTGGATCCTTTGTCCATTGGTTTACTGATGGGCATACCCATTGTATTACGAAGGGTCCTTCCTTTCCTCACTTTGTGTTTATGAGGATCAAGAGCTCCCAACAAACCAAGAACACGTATCACCTACAAAATGAATGGACACAAACACACATGAAATATATATGTACATAATATATATGTACATGTACAGAACCAAGAACTTCAAAATACAGTCAAACCTGTCTATTCCGGACACCTTAGTTCATTGTTACACATTACTATTGTATTGGGACTGATACTACCTGTCCGATCATTATAGAGGCCTCCTTATTTTAGAGTGTCCACAATAGCAGGCTATACTGTATACATAATGTACATGTACATGTATGTGTGTTGTACATGTACATATGTGTTTAGTGTTAACTCACTTCTCTTCTTATTGCTGGAGTTTGCTCTGTTTTGAGGAAATTGAACAACACATCAAGGAGATCTGGATACTCATAGTAAGGCTCAATAACATACCTATACATGTATGAATACATAATTATATAATTATACAGTACATATTGTAAAATTGATGTACATGTACATGTACGTATATCAATATAATGAGGACTGACTTACCCGGCGTTCTCCACTACTTGACCAAGAGTCCACAAAGCAACCTACAATGTATAAATGCACATGCATTATAATCAGCAATAAATAAAATAAATACGTATATATGCACATGTACATTATATAGGCGGTAGCCTATATGTAGGATTGAGGTTGATTTTTCAAGATGGCGTCCGTTTTCATGATTTTCAAACACTTATACCTCTTTTATCTTACGTTGTACAGCCTTATAAATGGCTTAGATGAGCTCTCCTTCACTGAGCGATTCTCCTGGTACCTTTAAAGTGAACTATAATGTAGCAGGAGCATTTCTGGAAAACAGGCCCAAATTCAAATTTCTACAAAATTCTTCAGACTTTTTCTTCTTCTTCTTCTTTCATCTTTCTTCTATACACCGGATAATCTCTTAAACTAGAGAACAGCTCAAGGTGACTTTTACATCACTCTTCTGGGCTTGGGTCAAGGACCACAAAGGTAGTTTCAAAAAGAAGCGAGGACAGAGAACAAAATGGAAGACAAAATCCAGCTGCAGACACCGCGTGGGTTTGTGGTTTGACGCCATTTTAATTTATGCGCACGTGATTAGCATGAATATAATTAACCT